CACATGGGCACCTGTTCATGGAGAAAGGACAGGGACAAGTCAGGAGAGGCTGCTTGGAGCCAAACCTGGGCCATTCCCTGTAGCCTGTTGTGCTGGGACTCACACACCCTTGTTCCTGCTCTTGGAAAACCTTCACCCAGGTCCCTGCCTGAGCTCCAGCTGTGCTGGCTGAGTGTGCCAGAGCAGCCAGGGCTGTGTGTGGAAGCTCTTGAGGAGCCATCCCTGCCCCACTGCCCTGTGTTTGTGGCCATGTGGCAGAGGGACAAGGCTGGATATTAGGATTTGTCAGGGGAATTGCTCGTAGTGCAGAAGGGCTTGGTACCATCTGCACTACCAAGTCTGGAGGACATGGACAGCAGGGAAAATATGTAGGGAATGTTTTTCCTACCCACACAGCATTTATGGCTCTCTGAAGTCAGAAATCCCCAGCATTCCTACTGCACTCAGAGTTTGTCACTGAGAGATGTGAGAGGCAAAGTATTCCCTGTGGCTGAGGGAAGCTGAGGGGCTGGATGGGCTTGTTCCCCCAGCACTGCTCTGTTCAGCCCCCTCTCCTTCCCTGAGCATGTCCCTGGGCCTGGATATCCCCTCCTGAGAGGTGCCTTGTCCCTGCCAGCGCTCACAGAGCCCATCCCACCCTGTGTGCCCTCGGCCCGGCCCTACAGAAACCTGCCTGTGTGCAGGGCCCTGGCTGGGGCAGGCTCTGTGTGCAGCTGGGCAAGGGCAGCTCAGGAGAGCCCTGCTGGGCCCTGCAGAGGTGATGCTGCTGCTGCCCAGGGCTGAGGAGTGGCTGAAGGCCCTTTGGGAGGCTCCCAGGAGAGACACTGACCACCCAAAGTCACAGTTCTGGAGTCGCTGTCCAAACATTCCTTTGATGATCCTGTGTGTCCCTTTCAACTCAGAATGTTCTGTCATTTGGGATTACAATTTCTGTTCTGCTTCTCTCATCCCCTTGTTCTCTATAATCAAAAGAGAAAAAAAGAACCCTTGCAACAGTGTTAGAACAGTGAAGTAAAAACCAGACCTTTATTGGAAGCTTCCAGGTGTCCCAGTGGGGATGAGGCACACCTGGCCCCTGATTTCAACAATTCATTAAGGTTGATTAAGTAGGATAGTTTACAAGGACATTCGAAAGAATATTCACTTGTCCCAGTTACACACCCCTGGCTCAACCCGTTGGAGTAGGTCCAAAGACATTTTTCCCCCTGGTTTCGTTATCACTGCTGGCATACAAAAACCAAAATGTTCTTCTTGTAGGTCCTCATCCTGTTGAAAAGACTATATAATATTCAAAAATGCATCTATACAGTCAGGTTATTTTTCTAAATTCTAAGAGAAGCCATAAAGAAATGTACTAGAGTTAATTAAATATTATAGATATAGAGGTATATAATAACACTTTATTAGTGTTCAGTAAGAGTTTAAGAGAGCTAATCAAGAGTTTAATAGAAATAATAAAGGATTATAGTTTTCTAAGTATATAA